AGTGGTGACTTTGGTCAAAATAGTTTGTCATGCTAATATCAAATGAATTTGTGCATAAGTAGAAAATATAAAAAAATGTTAGAATTATAAATAGAATTTTAAAGGTAAGAAAAAGTAAAGTACACCTAGAAAATGGCTTAGCTTTCTAGATAGGATGTTGCTGGGAGTTATTGTCATTTATAATGAAGAGTTAAGTATATCTCTAAAACAAGGTTGGCCCTAAACAGAATACCACAATGATAATGTGACAAAACCCTAAAAGTTGTTGAATTACAGCACATCTAAATCAATCTTTAAGAAAATATGGTAAATGTATTATAAACACACAAGATAAATAGCAACTATGTGGTAACTATTAATATCCTTTTAGTAATTAATATCACATATGCAATTTGAGGTTAACTTTTTCTTAAGAGAGACCACCCTTTATTCTGGAAATTCTCCTAGATGTTTGTCTGGAAAAAGAAGTTAAGGGAAGGCTGACTTGTTGAACCAAAACAACTTATTTAAAGGAGATTTTTAGTGGAATAAGGTTATAAGACAATGTGTAGAACTGACGTCATTGACAGCTAGAGGGCAGATGCATTAGAAGCCACAGCATGAAATAGCGATGCCGATATGAACTGCTGATGTGACACAAGGAGGAAGTGTTCGAACACTGATGTATTATGTGCTTGTGTCTTCACTAATCAACGACATAGGAACGACACTCAAGCTTACTTCTCTTAAAGTTACACCTGACTGAACTATGGAGTTTCATACATAAGGTTTTTTCTTATTTTTTCAAGCAGATCACACAAGAGTAATAATGAAGGATGAGAAACCAAACTGTAACAACCTTCATCCTGCTGGGTCTGACAGATGACATTCGACTGCAAGTTCTGCTTTTCACCTTCCTGTTTCTTTCTTACATGTTGAGTTTATCTGGAAACCTCACCATCATCTCCCTCACCTTGATTGATCCACACCTCAAAACACCTATGTATATTTTCCTCAAAAATTTCTCCTTCTTAGAAATTTCACTCACAACTGCTTGTATTCCCAGATTCCTGTATAGCTTATCATCTGGGGACAAGTCCATTACCTATGTTGCTTGTGTCACCCAATTGTTTTTTATAGACCTCTTTGCAGGAACTGAGTTTTTCCTCCTGGCCACCATGTCCTATGATCGCTATGTGGCCATCTGTAAACCACTGCATTACACGACAATCATGAACAGCAGAGTCTGTAAGAACTTCATCTTCCTGTGTTGGGTAGCGGCACTGATCATCATTCTGCCACCAATTAGTCTTGGCTTGGGTCTGGAATTCTGTGACTCAAATACCATTGACCATTTCTGCTGTGATGCAGCTCCTCTCCTGAAAATCTCCTGTTCAGACACGTGGTTGATAGAACAGATGGTGATAGTGTGTGCTGTGCTGACGTTCATCGTCACCTTCATGTGTGTTGTGCTTTCCTACATTTATATCATCAGGACCGTTCTGAGATTTCCCTCTGCCAAGCAAAAGAAAAAGGCCTTTTCCACCTGTTCTTCCCACATGATTGTTGTTTCCATTACTTACGGCAGCTGCATCTTCATCTACGTCAAGCCCTCAGCCAAGGATGATGTAGCTATTAATAAAGGGATCTCACTTCTTATTATTTCTGTTTCACCAATGTTGAATCCCTTTATTTATGCCCTGAGAAACAAGCAAGTGAAGCAAGCTTTCAATTACTCGATTAACAAAACTGCATTTCTCTCAAAGATGTAAAGACAAATGAACTGAAGAATACTAACAGAAATGGTGAATGTTTACAAAATCTGAAGGTTCTTAGCAGTATTTTCTGTATTCATACCATCCTGTCGTGTTGACCCTCACGTCCTCCTAAATTTCATCTCTATAACGTTTTTATCTCCAACAAAATCAAATTCTTTGAGGATATTTAGTCTTATAATCTATATGAAAATGTTTGGTTGATACTGTTATTTCTGGAACACAGTAAGTGATATTTTTTGCTGTTTTTGGTAGAAAACTTTTAGGTGTAGCTGTGTACTTTAAGTTATAACTAATCAAATGGGTATGAAAGTGATTTGTGCTATTTGTAGACCTGGCTTATAACAAGACCCACTATGCATTTTTCCATCTCTCTGGCAGGTGGCTATGTTCCAATGAACGTTATGCTTCATTCTGCTTATGAATAACCTGTGAACACCAATTCTTTAAACAAACAAACAAAAAATTAGGAATACGTCCCCAGTTGCCACCAAATTGAAATCTACATAAACCATAAATTATTTCAACTATGTTTGAGCAATTATCTATAGGAGCTCTCTAAGAGTATTTAGCTTTGATCACAAAAAATCTAAGATATACAGAATTTACAAGTAGTAAAGAAACCGATAGAAAACTACAAACATGAAAATTAATGTAATAATGTGAAGAGACATTTGTAGAACAGTTTCTTGCCTTTGAAGGAAACCTAAGGGCCTTCAGAGATAATAGCTCAGGAAAAATAGTTTGGTAAAGCCAATAGTATATACATTGTCATGTGCTATTTTGAAGAATATGATTATAGAACAGATATGGTTTGAG